GTAGGGTATTCCAGTCATGTATCAGCAGAACAGGTGGTCAGGTGTGGTGACAGTATTCCGTTCGGCTCGATTCGACTCGATATCCCGCGGAATGAGCCTGCTCAATTCAGCGTAGTGTGGTTCAATAGTTTAATGTGGTTTGATGCTGTTGGTGGCATGAGAAACAAGCAAGCTTACTCTATCACGGGGCTAAGGAATGGAGGGACCCCACTCCATTCAGTATTCGTTGATGTGCTTGTCCCTAGGCGTTTCAAGCAAACTTGCAGTTGCAACACAAAACTGCTGAATGGTTGCAGCTGATCTGATACGGATGCTAGTGCTGATTCAGGAATGGGAGAAGTGAAGCTTTTATGTACAAATATCAGGCCACAATATAGCAATAATGAAGGATCATACCATACAATACCAATATTTTCCTGGCACTAAATTGAGCCACCAAATCATGAAAGAACATGCATTCGTCGATTCGTGGTGGCAGTAGAGGCTGGATCGCGTGTGCAGCACGCGACACCTCACCGTTACCCTCCAAGCACACCCTCTCCCCTCAATCGCCTCCACTCCTTCTACCCGTGGACCAAACAAAGAACCCACCCACCCAACGCCAGGGGCCAGGGCCCTCCTACCCTAACCTCACCTGGCCGGGCCTGGAGGGAATGACACTGGCTGGCTGCCAATCGCCTTTCCTCCCCCTCACCACGCGAGGCTCTTAAGCTCTTCCTCAGTGGCTGTCAGCCGTGGCAGCGGCACAGACGCCCTCGTCACCCCTGCTCTCGCGCCGCCCCCGCCCTCGCCCTCACTCTCACTCCCGCTACCTGCGCCGTCCCCCACCACAGCCTGGTGGAAGGGCAGCAGCGAGCAGAACTCGAGGCAGCGCTGCCCCGTGGCTGTGTCCATGTGCACGCGGTACAGCTGCTGCCCTGCCCCATAGTCGCCCAGGAGAGAATAGCTCTCTGCTGACCCGTCCATTGTCACACACTCCACCTCGGAACCTGCCAGGGGAGGGGGGGGGTTGTGCGTGAGAAAAAGGGTGGGGGTGGTGGGAGTGAGGGAGGAACATGACCTCCGCAAGCGTCAAAAGCGCCCCGAATTAGTCACAGGATGGAGGTACGTGACCTCCGCAAGCGTCAAAAGCGAGGTGACTTTTGAGTCGACTCAAAAGTCAAAAGCGCCCAGAATTAGTCACAGGATGGAGGTACGTGGCATGGCAAGCTTCAAAAGGCCCCGAGCACTCACAGGCAGCAGATTCGAGGCGAGTGTTGCATATGAATGAACTCCAGCACAGAGCCTGCCGTGCCGTTCATGCCTCCCTCTGCAAGCCTCAAAAGCGCCCAGGGGTATTAGGCGGCAAAGGACATGGCGTGCCAAGCCTCAGTAGGCGAAGCCCCCAGGTACTCACAAGCAGCGTGCTCCAGCTGAGTGGTGTAGATTAAACTCCAGCATGGTGCCTGCCTTTGACTAGTGGTGAGTGGTGAGTGGTGCAGTGCAGACTAACTCCGCTCCAGCATGGCGCCTGCCTTCCTTTTCTTTGATGAGCCTCAAAACAGCAAGGCAGGCAGGCACTCACAGGCGGCGTGTTCGAGCTGCGTGTTGTAGATGAACTCCAGCACGGCGCCCGCCTCCGCCTCAAACGCTGCAAAGCTGCCCGAGGGGCCCCCACCCCCCGTGGTGGCGATGGCGCGCCGCAGCTTGTTCACCCCCTCCCCAAACTCCATCATGGCGCCGCTGTGGTTCTGTGAGTTGGTGGGGGGTGTGGGGACAATATAGGAGGCCGTTAGAAGGGGACGATGGACTTTAGATCAGGAAGGGCGATTGTCAGGAAGGGGGCTGTGCCGTGACACGTGGCAAACATGACTGTGGGGCACGAAAGGGATCAACACATGTCACCATGAGCATGCATTGCGAATGAATGCTGCCCGGTACACAATGCGTGCATGGGGTGTCATGCACCATGCCCACCTGATTCAGCAGATGCACCATGCCCACGGCGCACTGCAGCAGCCCGTGCAGCATGCCTCGCTGCGGCTCCGCTGACTGATGCCACATCTCCTCCAGCAGGTCATGGCACCTGCCATGCGCCATGTCCCATGCATCACAATGCACAATGCACCATGCATCACAATGCACAATGCACCATGCATCACAATGCACAATGCACCATGCATCACAATGCACAATGCACCATGCATCACAATGCACAATGCACCATGCATCACAATGCACAATGCACCATGCATCACAATGCACAATGCACCATGCATCACAATGCACAATGCACCATGCATCATGCATGGTGCATTGTGCATTGTGATGCATGGTGCATTGTGCATTGTGATGCATGGTGCATTGTGCATTGTGATGCATGGTGCATTGTGCATTGTGATGCATGGTGCATTGTGCATTGTGATGCATGGTGCATTGTGCATTGTGATGCATGGTGCATTGTGCATTGTGATGCATGGTGCATTGTGCATTGTGATGCATGGGACATGGCGCATGGCAGGTGCCATGACCTGCTGGAGGAGATGTGGCATCAGTCAGCGGAGCCGCAGCGAGGCATGCTGCACGGGCTGCTGCAGTGCGCCGTGGGCATGGTGCATCTGCTGAATCAGGTGGGCATGGTGCATGACACCCCATGCACGCATTGTGTACCGGGCAGCATTCATTCGCAATGCATGCTCATGGTGACATGTGTTGATCCCTTTCGTGCCCCACAGTCATGTTTGCCACGTGTCACGGCACAGCCCCCTTCCTGACAATCGCCCTTCCTGATCTAAAGTCCATCGTCCCCTTCTAACGGCCTCCTATATTGTCCCCACACCCCCCACCAACTCACAGAACCACAGCGGCGCCATGATGGAGTTTGGGGAGGGGGTGAACAAGCTGCGGCGCGCCATCGCCACCACGGGGGGTGGGGGCCCCTCGGGCAGCTTTGCAGCGTTTGAGGCGGAGGCGGGCGCCGTGCTGGAGTTCATCTACAACACGCAGCTCGAACACGCCGCCTGTGAGTGCCTGCCTGCCTTGCTGTTTTGAGGCTCATCAAAGAAAAGGAAGGCAGGCGCCATGCTGGAGCGGAGTTAGTCTGCACTGCACCACTCACCACTCACCACTAGTCAAAGGCAGGCACCATGCTGGAGTTTAATCTACACCACTCAGCTGGAGCACGCTGCTTGTGAGTACCTGGGGGCTTCGCCTACTGAGGCTTGGCACGCCATGTCCTTTGCCGCCTAATACCCCTGGGCGCTTTTGAGGCTTGCAGAGGGAGGCATGAACGGCACGGCAGGCTCTGTGCTGGAGTTCATTCATATGCAACACTCGCCTCGAATCTGCTGCCTGTGAGTGCTCGGGGCCTTTTGAAGCTTGCCATGCCACGTACCTCCATCCTGTGACTAATTCTGGGCGCTTTTGACTTTTGAGTCGACTCAAAAGTCACCTCGCTTTTGACGCTTGCGGAGGTCACGTACCTCCATCCTGTGACTAATTCGGGGCGCTTTTGACGCTTGCGGAGGTCATGTTCCTCCCTCACTCCCACCACCCCCACCCTTTTTCTCACGCACAACCCCCCCCCTCCCCTGGCAGGTTCCGAGGTGGAGTGTGTGACAATGGACGGGTCAGCAGAGAGCTATTCTCTCCTGGGCGACTATGGGGCAGGGCAGCAGCTGTACCGCGTGCACATGGACACAGCCACGGGGCAGCGCTGCCTCGAGTTCTGCTCGCTGCTGCCCTTCCACCAGGCTGTGGTGGGGGACGGCGCAGGTAGCGGGAGTGAGAGTGAGGGCGAGGGCGGGGGCGGCGCGAGAGCAGGGGTGACGAGGGCGTCTGTGCCGCTGCCACGGCTGACAGCCACTGAGGAAGAGCTTAAGAGCCTCGCGTGGTGAGGGGGAGGAAAGGCGATTGGCAGCCAGCCAGTGTCATTCCCTCCAGGCCCGGCCAGGTGAGGTTAGGGTAGGAGGGCCCTGGCCCCTGGCGTTGGGTGGGTGGGTTCTTTGTTTGGTCCACGGGTAGAAGGAGTGGAGGCGATTGAGGGGAGAGGGTGTGCTTGGAGGGTAACGGTGAGGTGTCGCGTGCTGCACACGCGATCCAGCCTCTACTGCCACCACGAATCGACGAATGCATGTTCTTTCATGATTTGGTGGCTCAATTTAGTGCCAGGAAAATATTGGTATTGTATGGTATGATCCTTCATTATTGCTATATTGTGGCCTGATATTTGTACATAAAAGCTTCACTTCTCCCATTCCTGAATCAGCACTAGCATCCGTATCAGATCAGCTGCAACCATTCAGCAGTTTTGTGTTGCAACTGCAAGTTTGCTTGAAACGCCTAGGGACAAGCACATCAACGAATACTGAATGGAGTGGGGTCCCTCCATTCCTTAGCCCCGTGATAGAGTAAGCTTGCTTGTTTCTCATGCCACCAACAGCATCAAACCACATTAAACTATTGAACCACACTACGCTGAATTGAGCAGGCTCATTCCGCGGGATATCGAGTCGAATCGAGCCGAACGGAATACTGTCACCACACCTGACCACCTGTTCTGCTGATACATGACTGGAATACCCTACC